TCCACAATAAAAATACCATGGTTATTGTTTTATTAACTGGCTTATTATCTGTTTGCGACCAAATTGTTTTCGTAAATAACTTGACAATACTATGACCATGATAATTTAGATAAAATAATATAGAAATTTTCAAACTATTTGTTAATATTATGTTTAGATATCTGATAATCGGTATAATTATATTGATACGGGATGAAAATGCACTGGCAAATATATGAAAATTAGTGATCAGGTAGACGGCACCAATTATTTCATTTAGCAACATAATCAACTGTACCAAATAGCACCAGTATTTTAATTTAATAGATAGTACAGGTCTACCATTACGATAGTTATATATACCGCCAAATGTTAGACCAAAAATATTGTTGACTGTTATAATCAATAAAAATATATAGTAATTAATTTTTTTATAACTTAATTTTGAAACAAACATTATTATTAATAAGTTAGTATAATGTGAAATAAAATGTGCAATAAATATTAAATATTTCATAAAAATAACTAATTTTTATTGTTTTAAAAGTAATTTATTGAAGAGTGTAAAAGTTGGATATATGAATTAATATAATAGTTTAACTATAATATATTGTAAACTAATACTGTAATAACAAAATATGTATTCAATGTTTAGTGTATATGAAAATAATTATTTACTTAATTTTATATTAAAAGTAAATAAGTTTACTTTTTTATTGTGTTTTATTTTATCAATTAGCTGTATAAAAATATATAATTATATTATTATTATTATATAGAGTATTGCATATATTTATTTATTTATATACAATACTCTGCAATATAAATAAATATTGATATTAAATTATATAACATACTATAGTATAAATATATTAATTTTTAATCATATCTAATGTTAATAGATAAACATTATTTGGTGCACTAAACATCAATGTCTATAAATGTATTGCACTAACTAAATATTTATACCTTAAAAATTAATTAATATATAAGTATACAATAGATATTATTATATATTATATATATATATATATATATTAAAAATATATATATTATAGTTGTATTTTATTAATCATGACAATGTACCTTATATAATAATAAAAGAAATAATAAATAATAGTAAATAAATCTATTTCAATTTTTAATTTAATAGAAATTAATAATATATATCTAAAAATGTTTAAATAATTGTATATATGATAACTTATATATTGTATTTATATATTGTTGTATAAAAAACTAAATGCTTATAAATGTAAATATTGAACATTATGTATTTAGAAAATATAATGTTTTAGATGATTTAAATAATAGAAATATTTAAATAATTATTTTTTTTTAATTATTAGATTACTTTATAAATTAATAATTTTATTAACATTTTTAGTTAATTTTATATTTTCAGTATCTTTTGTGAATAGATTAAAATATATTATTAATAAAATTACATTATTTTTATCAACAGTTTAATGTAATAAATTTTTAAATTAATTATAAATAAAATAATTTTTATTGAATATTTATAAATGTATTATTTCACAATATAAATTTTATATTATCTAGTTAAATAATAAAATATAATTGTTAAAAAAACAATTATAAAATCAATATATTTAATTATATTACATTTATAATTATATTACAATTATATAAAGTAACAAAAATAATTATTTATTTTATTTTATTCATACAAATATGAATAATTATGAATAAAATAGGATGACATCAAAAGAAATCAATATAATTACAAAAATATATTAAAAGTATAATTCATATTTATTAAAAAATAACATTAAAATAGATATATAATTGTTAATAAATATATAGTTTTCAAGCTTATAAATTAGTCTAATTAATCCTAACCTATATCAAAATAAAAAGTCTGAAATTAACAATTATGAAAATTAATTTTAAAATATTATATAACTTTATAAACGTTGTATTAATATTATATCGTTGTATTGGCGTTACATTTAGTGGACTAAAATTTGATACACAAAACTTAAAGATTACAAAATCAAAATGTTTAATTTACCTTGGTTATTTAAAAATAATAGTTACACTAATAATTGTTACACACAACTGTATTAAATTTATCAATCAATATTTGACATTACATTATCAAAATTCAATTATGTTTATTATAGATGTAATCAATTGCTTGCTAATTAACTTACAAATATTAATCACTATATGTACATTAAATTCATCTAATATGTACTTGTTAATTGTTAATTTTATTGAAAATTTTGGAAAATATCTAAAAAATACGTTAAAATTCGGACAAATAATTTTAATTTTATTTAGTTTTACTATATTAACTCTTTATACTGTTAATTATATTATTGATTTAACTGAATTGAACAAAAATCATCAATATCAATTTAAATTATATTTATTTTCAACATTATTTACATTACATATGTACGAAATTACATTATTGTTGACAATATTATGGATAATCTTATTGAACTTATTGGACGTTTTAAATATTATAAAACAGCAAATTATAACCAAAAATATAAGTAAGATTTAGTTTATTATAAAATGTTTTTTTTTTAAATAGTTATAATATTAATTTAATTTATTTGATATGTATAGGTAATATGCTTTTATTAAATGAACCTGGTCATCAATCAATAGTTTCTAACCCAAAATATTTTGATGAAATTCATACAATAATTAGCAAAATTGCTATTTTTATTGATTTATTAAACAATACTTTAAAATATTTTCTACCAATTTTTATTATGGATAATACATTCATTATAATGCTTTGTTTATATGTTTCAACAAATACTAATATAATAGATATTTCATTTAATAAGTATAAAAGAGGTTTATTGTCGCAAATAGTAATAATTATATCCCCAATGTCTATAATTATTACATGTTTTATAAGCGATTTAATTATAAAATCTTTAAAATCACTTAAACGATCGGTTAATTCTATGAATATCCGAGTGATGACTGACTATGAGTTTAGACAATGGATTGCATTGAAGGCTATGATTTGAAACACAGCGACAATGTGTCCGACAATCGGAGGGTTCGCTAAACTCAACAAATCAACACTTATTTCGGTATTTTATTTATTATATATATAAATGTTTAAAAAATATTTAAAAGTCTATATTAATATATATATATTATTTTAATTACAGATATTTACTTTTATACTTAATTACACAGTTATATTATTTCAGACAACAAAATAAAATAATATTTTTATTATAAAATCAACTCTATTTATAATAGTTATGTGTCAATTTGATGTATTTAATATATTTAAAATTTTAAAATATTATTAAAAATCGAATAATATATAACATTGAATATTTAACTATATTATAACTATATTATACTTAAAAAAAACTATTATTATTGTTTCTATTATTATATTTATAGATTTAAATGATTTATTTGTAAAAATAGTTTCATTTTGATTACTATCATTTCTGATACTATTTATTAAAAGATAGAAATTTTATTTTATTGTATATTTGATAAGTATTAGTATTATTGTTATATTAATAAATTTATATTAAAATTAATTATATATTTTTGTTATTATAAAAATTTGACAAAGTATAATTTAAATTATTTTATTATTTTTTTAAAAATATTTTCTCATAATAGTGAGTGATTTTGATTTTTTATGAAATAATCTATTATTTTTAAATTATATATTTTTTGTACACATAATTATTTTCTAAATAAAATCTAGATATATGAAATAAAATATTGTAAACAAAACAATTAAATAATCAATATATTTAATTATATTTTTGATTATTTATTTGTACATATAAGTAATAAAAATATTAATATATCACTATTATAGTTTTATTTAAATTTTTTATTAAGATAACATATAAAATAATATAATTTTTAATAATTTTATTTGTAATTTATAAATCTGTCTAACACTAATCACTAAATCTAAAAGTTTTAAATTTTAAAATTATGAAAATTAATATTAAACTAATTGTTTATTTTATAAACTTTGTATTAATATTCTATCGTTGTTTTGGCATTACATTTGGTGGACTAAAATTTGATACACAAAACTTAAAGATTAAAAAATCAAAATTTCTAATGTATCTTGGTTATTTTAAAATATTTATTACAATGATAATTATTATATACAGCTGTATTATATTGATTAGTCGATATTTGACATTACCCTATCAAACTTCATATATGCTTATCATCGATATAATTAATTGTTTGCTATTAAATTTACTAATCTTACTAACTGTATTTACATTGAATTCATGTAATATGTACTTGATGATTGTTAATTTTATTGATAATTTTAGAAAATATTTAAATAATACTAATGTATCATTTAACAAAATTATTTTACTGTTATTTTGGTTTACTACCATATTTTTGTACACTGCTAATTATCTAATTGATTTGTACAATAATAAACATAAATATCAATTTATCAGTTATCTATTTTTAACATTACTAACATTACATGTGCATGAAACTATTATACTATTGACAATATTATGGATAATGCTATTGTTTGTATTAGATGTTTTAAATATCATCAAACATCAAATTGAAACCAAAAATATAAGTAAGTTTTAGTTCACTATATATTTTTTAAATGTTAAAATATTGATTTTATTTATTTTAAAGGTATAGCAAATATGCTTTTAGTAAATGTACCTGGCAATCCATCAATAGTTTCCAGTGAAAAATTGTTGTCAACATTTTTTGATGAAATTCAATCAATAATTAGCAAAATTGCTAATTTCCTAAACTTGTTAAACAATTTGTTAAAATATTTTCTACCCGTATATATAGCACATCATATGTGTCTTATAATGTTTTGTTTATATGTTTCGACAAATACTCATATAAAAGATACTTCATTTAATAAATTTAAAAGAGGTATAATGGCAATATTAGTGATAATTTTATCCCCAATTGCAATAATTATTACATTTTTAATATGCGATTTAATTACACAACATTTACAATCACTTAAACAAACTGTAAATAATATGAATACCCGAGTGATGACTGACTATGAGTTTAGACAATGGATTGCATTGAAGGCTATCATTGGAAACACAGCGACAATGTGTCCGACAATCGGAGGGTTCGCTAAACTCAACAAATCAACACTTATTTCGGTATTTTATTAATTAATTTTATAAAAATAATAATATAATAATAATATATTTTTGTTTTTTTTTAATTATAGATATTTACGTTTATGCTTAACTACACTGTTTTACTATTTCAAACAATAAAATAAGATTAATTCATTATTTAATATAAATTAAACTTTCTGTACAATAATTATCTTTAAATTTAATGTACTTTATTTACATTAAAGAAATCTAATTAAAAATCTAATCATAAATTACACATCAAATGACATTGAATGTAATTTTATCAAATTTTTAAAAACATTAATAAAAAACAGTAATGATATATTTTTAAATATTATAAATTTAAAATAAAACTTTAATTTATATAAATAATATATAAAATACTTTGTTTAACTTTTATATAAATATGTATCACAATGTAATATCATTATTATTTTTATTAATAAGTATAATAATTAAATGTATTGTCTGTACAACTATTGAACCATTGGTGACCACTAGTTCGGGTACTGTTAGAGGACAGACATTGCATTTGCTAAATAAAAAGATCGATCAATATCTGAATATACCGTTTGCCGAACCACCGGTCGGTAGGTTAAGGTTTGCTAAACCCGTACCATTGATAACATCTAAAAATGTATGTTTTTTCTAGAATTTTAAAAAGTAATATTTATTGATTAGATTTTTACATTAAATATTTATATATTTAAAATTAATTAGGATATCATTGACGGCACAAAACCGGGTAATAGTTGTATACAAACACAAGCAGAAAGTATTTCCAATTTGTTCAGTGGTTTACAGGAAAGCGAGGACTGTCTGGTACTAAACGTATGGTCACCACAAACAACTGGTGCCATCAATGTTGGCGGTGGTGATAGTGATGTTGATCAGCCATTATTAAAGCCAGTAATGTTTTGGATTTATGGCGGTGCTCTCAGTAAGGGTAGCATATTTCAAGACATATACAATGCATCAGCTTTGGCCGCTACTGGTGATGTAGTGATAGTTGCGGCCAACTATCGTGTGGGTGCTCTCGGATTTCTATACGGTGCCGATGATAGTGCACCGGGAAATGTAGGTTTTTATGACCAACTCGTAGCACTTCAATGGGTCAGAGACAATATTCATGCATTTGGTGGCGATAGGGATCAGATTACCATATTTGGTGTGTCAGCCGGCAGTTGGTCTGTATCGGCACACTTACTGTCGCCGCTATCCATAGGACTGTATCGCAGAGCTATCATGCAAAGCGGTGCCGTTATGTTTAACAAGGATCGACCGATTTTGGATACTGTCGATGCTCTAAGCAAAGCCAAACAACTGGCCAACCGTGTCGGTTGCGATCCCTATGACTATTACTGGTTAGACTGTTTGCGTGCAATCAATGATCCGAAACTATTGAAGGACATCAATCCATACGGTGGCACTTATGTTGTAACCTATCCAGTGATTGGTACAGAATTTCTACCAGTGCTCACACAAAAAGCATTTGAACTAAACAATTATAATAAGGGTAACTGTTTAGTACACTATTTTAATAAGTAGCTAGATAACTTTTTATTATTAAACATAATATTTTTAATTGATAATCACAGATATTGATCTGCTTATTGGTGCCACCAGTAATGAGGGCAACGGTTTACTATTGTTAGTCTATCCTGAAACTACCGGTGCAAACATTACTATTGAATTGTTTTATAAAATACTAGACTATATCGACCAAGACATTCATAATGTAGATAAGCTTAAAATTGCCGATTATTATCTGGACAATGTTGACACTACTAACAGTAGCCAATTATTGCGTGCAATGGGCGATCTGTTTGGCCATCTATTACTTTTGTGTCCAACATATAAGTTTGCCAAACAATTTGCCGGACGTACCGCTAGCGGAACAACTAGGGGTGTCGGTGGCGAACATCAAGTCTACTATTATGAGTGGGCGTATAAATCCCGCAACAATATTATGCGTGCATTGGAACAACAACTAGGATTGCCAGCTGATCTGATTCATCATGGTGCTGATATTGATTTTATATTTGGCAAACCATTTATCACCGATGATAACGACTACAGTAAACTGGACTATGATTTTAGTTTAGAAACAATGAAAATGTGGACTAATTTTGCTAAATATGGGTACAGTATTATTATTAGTATTATCATTTATTAATTGCATATAAAATTTAATTTATTATTATAAATACTTTATGTAATTTAAATAATTTATCTTTTTATACTTAATTTTAGTAAACCTAACAATGAATGGCCTGAATTTTTGGACAACAATAATAAAATCAATAATAATAATCAATTAAAAACAATTAAAGTTAAATATTTGTCTCCAAATATCAAACAAATCAATAGTATTTTAGACGATCCTTATGTCCGTACGTGCGATGGTATATGGAGTGACTATTTTTAATAACAGTAGAAATAAACTTATTTTAAAATACATTTATAAAATGTATTTCTATTTTACAATTTTTAATCACTGAAATAGAAAAAATAATAATAAATTTTAATTTTTTAAATAATTTATTCATTCTGTTATATTTTTAAAAGTTTAAACAGAGTATAGTTTCTATTTTCTATTTCTATTTAATAGTTTATTTACAACAAGTTTTTGTAGTATTTTTTAATGTAAGAAATAATTTTTTAAAGTTATTAGTTTAATTATTTTTTGTTCAAGGTCATAATCAGACCCATAACAACTAATAACAATTTTAAACTATTTAGATTTTAGATTTATTTTTAAATTAATTTTTTCGTATCATTAATATAAATTATAATATATTTCATTTTCTTAATAACTTTTAAATCAATATACTATATTGTAATTTAATGTATAAAAATTAAATTATTTTATTTATTATATTAATAAAATTAATATTATTAAAAATAATTTATAACATTTTATTTATGTATTTATTTAAATTGATTTTTTGGATAATAAAAATATTTTTTTTTCTTTAATATCTTTTATCGAATCTAATTATTTTGTCATTAAAAGAACTTTTTAAGTTTATTAAAAAAAACACAACAATTATATATTTCCTAATATATTATATTTTCTATTCATTTATTTTTTTTAATTATATTATTATATATAAATTGATAAAATTGACATTTTAGTTTGAATCTATATTTATCAAGAAAATAGTTTTTTTAGAATTATTAAATAAATAATTATTATTTATAGTAATAAAAAATATTATTTTAACTATTTTTAAAAATTTCATATATTCTTAGTAAATATCAGCAAAATAACAATAAATATGTATATAAGTTTGAGAAAATTTGTTTTATTAGTAAATTTTTTATTATTATTTTATCGCTGTATTGGTATAACATTTGGTGGTCTAAAATTTAATACAAAAAATTATAAGATTACAAAATCAAAATGTTTAATGTATCTAGGTTATGCAAATATTTTAATTACACTAATAATTGTCATATACAACTGTACTATTATGATCAATCAATTTTTGATATTACATTATAATAATACATTTATAATGTATATTGAAATTTTAAATTATTTTATTTTTAATTTGCAAATCTTTATTCTAGTATTGACACTAAATTCATCTAGCATGTACAAAATGATTAATAGTTTTATCAAATATTTTGGCCAATATTTTAAACTAAATATAACATTTTTTCAATTATTACTAATTGTTTTTTGTTTTATTATTATTACTTTTCATACATATAATTTTCTAATTGTAATAATTGATTTTAACACTAATCACCAATATCAATTTGATAAATGGTTGTTTCAAATACATTTAACATTACATTCATATGAATTATCATTGTTTTTATTATTATTTTGGTTAATATTATTGCACGTATTGAACGTTTTGAAAATAATCAAACATAAAATTCAAAGACAAAATCAATTCAATCGTAAGTAATTGAAATAAAATTTATAAATTAATTTACTTTAGACGAAATATATAAAATAATTAAAATATTTTTTTTAAATAGATAAACTGTTTAAAAATGCTAATACTTTTAATACATCTATAACAACAAACAATAAATTTTTATCTATATTTACTGAAATTAAATCAGTATTTAGCAAATTTGCTAATTTTATAAACACATTGAACAATACATTAAAATATTTGCTACCCGTCTATATAACTAACAATATATTAATAGTAATGATTTCTGTATATTTGTTATCAAATGCTAATCAAATAACAGACATGTCTTTTACTGATATTAAATATAGTTTAATACTTAAAATTATTGTAATTATATCACCAGTATCATTAATTATTTTATGTTTAATAATTGATTCAATTCAACAATGTTTACAATCAATTGAACAGTCGGTAAATGATATGAATATCCGAGTGATGACTGACTATGAGTTTAGACAATGGATTGCATTGAAGGCTATCATTGGAAACACAGCGACAATGTGTCCGACAATCGGAGGGTTCGCTAAACTCAACAAATCAACACTTATTTCGGTATTTTATTTATTTTAAAAATTAAAATATTTTTTTTTTAAATAATAATAAATATATCTTTTAAAATTAATAATAATATTTATCACTTATTTACAGATTTTTACTTTTATTTTAAATTATACGGTCATCTTATTTCAAACGGCTAAAATTAAATAATATTTTCAAAATGTCAAATATGTGAATAAAATTAATAAATTGTTTTAAAAGGAATTACATATTTTTTATATTTACATAATATTTTATAGACTATTATAGTAAAATTATTTATTTATTACATAATATATACAATATTAATATTTTGATTATATTAACATAACTTTATTTTTTGGTCTGAAAATCTTATAATAATATTTTAATATTTCTAACTAAAATAACAAATAACAAACATTATTATCATATATTGTATACTTAAAAGATAATTAATATAAAGTACATTATTTTTTAAATACATATAATTTATTTGTTGATATTTTGTCTTTATTTATTTATTGTACTTTATATAATTAATCCATATGTATACAGTATATTAACATATAAATAATATGCATTATAGATATGAATTTGTTAATAAAGTCTACAATTGTATTTACATATTGTTTTAATAAAATTCAATAAATTTATTTATTATTGAAACAAATTATAATAATATATTTTATTGTATTGATCAAGGAGATATATGTAATATTAAGTACAGTATTGTATCAATAGTATATAATACAGTATATAAACTATAGTATTTTGTTTTTAAAATTATATCTATAGTTAGATTTATAAATTAAAAAATTTTCTTTTCTAACATAATGTCTAAACATCACAAATTTGATAAAATTATTAATTTAATTTCATTAAAATTATTTTCAATAATATTATTGTTTTATCGTATATTTGGTATTACATTCAATGGTTTGGTAGTAAATCAACATAATGGTAGTCTAACACAATCACCAAGGCTAAAATATTGGGGCTATCTATCAACATTTTGTGTTGTAATTTTTGATCTAGTATCCTTAATAATGTTGCTATCAAATTTTAACATGCTTACGATATCATTTGGTACCAGCAATATGATACTACCTAGTTGTTATATGATTAGTTTTATATTGCTCAATTTTCAAAAAGTCTATATGTTTGCTTATTTGAATACAAATCAATCCTATTTAATGGCAAAATTATTTCTAAAAAATATTTGGCGACTAGTATTGATTAAAAATAATAGATATGTATTAATGATTTTAGTCTATTGGCTATTGCAATATTTTATTCATGCTATATTAGTTGTAAACTATTTAACCTGGATCATATCATCATGGCAAAATGAATCAATTGTATACAGTGTATCTTCATTTATTATACATGAACACTATGTATTATCATGGTTGTTTGCCACATTTATGTGGATAACAACAATTTATTCAAACAGTATAGTAGATACTGTTAATAAATCATTAATCAAGTATAACAAACAAGGTTTAATAATTTATAATATACAAATTTATGTTTTATATATACTGATTGAATAAATATGTCTAAAAAAAATTATTTATTTTTAGTTATTGCTAACAGAAACCAATTATCGGAAAATATCGGAAATTTATGTATAATTGAAAAAAATAAAAATCTCTTTCAACACATTGTCGACACTATCAATGATTTTGATCGACGATTAAAATTACTTAACACTATTAAACTGACAATTAATTTATTTGTAATTATGATTCACGTCTACAATATTGCAAATGTCGATGAAATTAAAACTCAAAAGATATCGACGAGCAAACTGGCCATCTATGGTATAGTGTCCAGTATTGCCGAAACAGTTATCACATGTTTCATATGCGGCACATTTGACGACAAATGCCGAACCATTGGCCAGACATTGGACGCCATGAATGCCCGCTATTTGTCGGACACGGAGTACAAGGAGTGGCTTATGTTTAAACATATGTTGCGCTCAAACCAGACGTTTGGCTTTACTATCGGTGGGTTCGCGACATTCAATAGGACTACACTTATTGCCGTAAATAATATTTTTTAAATTATATTATTAACGATATTTATAGTTTTAAATATATATATATATATATAATTATTTTTTATTAAATTTAAAATAGATATTTACATTTGTGTTGAATTATACAATAATATTATTACAAACTTCAAACAATTCATCCAAATCAACTATTATTAACAATTATTATGGAAACGTTACAAATATTTAATAATTTATAAAAATAAATAACAGTAAATCTTATAATTATTTTATTAGTTTCTAAACTATTAAAACCTCTTTAATATTTATCTAATGTTCTATAAAGTAATACTAATATTTTATTTAACTATTAATAATTATTTTTTTAGAAAATTTTATTTTATTTATTCAATAATAATGTAAAAAATAAAGCTCTAATATTTCTATTTCAATTTTAAGTTTTAAAAATACGAGAATTATCAGAATATTAAATATATTATTATTACTATTTAATAATTTAAAATACTATAGAATATAGCTGTAAATACTAATTTTTTTATTTTTAAAAATATTTTAATTATATTTTTTATTTTTCTCTAGAATCTAATCAAAAGTAACTCAAATAATAAAGTTATATTTTTTAAAAATATTGTTACTAAACCTACATATACTGTACTATTTAACTTTATGCATATTATTTACATAATAATCATTATTATAATCAATAATCAAAATCATAAAATTTAATTTATTTATATTTAATCAATAATATTTGTATTATTAATTTTCTTACATTATGTTTACTATTTGTTCTTATATAGTCAATAAACAATGTTATTAGAAAAAAGTAATTTAGTTAAGGGATGATTCATATATAACTTTCGCACTTTTTAAGTAATCTAGACCCCTCTATGTTTGCAATTTTTAGCATGTAGTTCTTCGCAAAAATTTGATTTGGCTGACACCCCTTCC